AACGTTGCAATTGTTTTACTGTTTTGGGAGGCTTTAGATCTAAAATTGCTTCTACTCTTTTTGGATCAATTTTGACACCATCTTTGGACCAAATTGTTGAAGTAACTAAAATAAAAGACCGGTTTTTCCTTTTAAAGCCTATGCAGAAGCTCTTTATTCATTTCTAATACTTATACACTTTGATTTCCATTAAATAACTTACACACTTAACAGGCTGCGATCCTGAACGGATATATAATATTGATAAGGGAGGTAGATGATCGATGAGGTTCGGCACACCGATAGATCAAAGTACGGCGGGAAGTACAAATTCAACATGCCTCCTAAAAAAAAAAAAAAAAAAAAAAAAAAAAAAAAAAAACGAAGTTACTAAATTACAATACGTGACAGTCACTTAAAAAGTAATTTAACTTTTCTTAAGAAAAGGTAATAACGTACAGATAATGAATGACGCATATTTTCTTTCATTGGGAAAGCTCTTTTCCAAGAAGAGAAAAAAAAATCTTATTATGCAATTTCACAAAAGAATACTTTAAGACTTCTTGAAGGATGCCCGTCCTTCAACAAGACCGCAAGAATCAAACCAAAAAGGAAAAATTGCTGGCCTAATTTTCCAATTTGTTTCGCTCAGCACTCTAAAGAGTTCTTGTGTTAATCGAGTGCATAAAATCATTAAAAGTTTGAGTAAGACTTGATTTGTGACTAAAGAAATTACTTTTGCGTTCTTACAAATTTAATATGCCTCCTTGATATTTGTACGAGATTACTAAATACATATTTTCAGTACAGCTTTTAAAATACATAAAGACGGTAAAAAATTTGACATCATTTAATTTAAGGTTTAAGATTCAATAGATTTCTGAATTTTTGGAAATTAATTTTGCCTAATGCTTTAGTAAGAATATCTGCTATTTGTTGGCAGCTAGACACTTTAACAATATCAATTTCTTTTTTTTTATAATAATCATTTACATAATGGTATCGTACATCAATGTGTTTTGAATTTTTGTGAAATTTACCGTTTCTGGCAAGTTCGAAAGCACCTTTGTTGTCTTCAAAAATTGGAACAGGTTGATCAAAATCTATTCCTAACTCAGTTAACAATCCTTTTATGGGTAATAGTTCTGTAACGCATTCAGAAAGTGCATAGTACTCTGCATGAGACGTGGCGATCGATACGACTTTTTGTTTTTGAGATTTCCAAAGTATGGGCGTGTCGTTTATTCTTATTAAAAGTCCAGAGGTAGATTTACGATGAACAAGATCGGAAGCAAAGTCTGAGTCTACATAAGCATCTAATTTTACATCACCATTTCCTTTGAATTCAAGCTTTAAGTTTCGGGTATGATACAGATATTGCAGAATTCTAAGAGCATATTTGTAATGTATTGACGAACAGGCATTTTGAAATCTGCTTAGAAAATTTACTGAAAAACGAAACGTCCGGCCTTGTGCCATTTGCTATATAAAGTAACGTGCCAAATAAATTTCTATAGTTAATAGATGTATCAGTATTATCACAGGGTAATAGTTTTAAATTTTCTTCCATAGGGGTGTCATACTTTTTACTATCGATTACACCAAACTTTTCTGCTGCACTGATTATGTAATCTGTTTGGTTCACAGTAAGTTTTTGATGTATTAAGTCTTGTTCAATTTCTAGACCTACATAGCGTTTTACAGGTCCTAAATCTGTCATTTTGAAACGTTGAGAAAATATTTTTTTGACATAGTTGATCAGTTTTTCATTTGAAGATAAAATAAGGAGATCATCGACATAAAGTAGAACATACAAAAGGACTACGTGCAAAACGGGCCATTTGGGGCTCGGGGCGTATACCTTTGAGACTTGCCCTATTCATTCACCTAACAATGCCCCATCTTTTCCCAAAGTTTCAAGCCCCTCAAAAATTTTGGGGAGACGCAGCGGGGGGTCAAAGTTCAAAACCGGCAAAATTTTCGCGAATTTATTACTTACTAAAGACCTACTAAACCAAGAAGTTTTCGAAAACGTGGTTTAAACGAGCGTATTTAGCGTGACGAGAGCTTTCAGAAAATGTATAACATCATAGGGTTTTGTCAACTTCAGCTCGACCGCAACTTTACCGCATGCTGGGGAAATGTTTTGGTCGCGAGTTATAAGAGCGCAAAGGAGCGAAGGTCGGGAAAATCGGCTATTTTAAACTGCGCGCGCGGCGTTGATCGGAGGGAAAACGTCCCTTCCCACTCATTTCGGCGAATCACACTCCTCTACCGACCTCGCATTGTTGCCACATGGCTCCTGATCTGTCGCCGCGCGCAGTTTAAAATAGCCGATTTTCCCGACCTTCGCTCCTTTCCGCTCCTATAACTCGCAACCAAAACATTTTCCCAGCATGCGGTAAAGAGCTAGAGGGGCTACAGAGAGTCAGGAACAACATTTCAGTTTTTCATGAAAATAAAAAAATGGCTTTTTTTAAATCGGCCCAAACGTGAAAAAATAAGGGGTCTCTTTTGAGCGTTCCGGCGCTTCGGAGGCGATAACTCGAGCTGAAGTTGACAAAACCCTATGATGTTTTACATTTTCTGAAAGCTCTCGTCACTCTGAATACGCTCGTTTAAACCGCGTTTTCGAAAACTTCTTGGTTTTCGAGTAATAAATTCGCGAAAATTTTGCCGGTTTTGAACTTTGACCCCCCGCCGCGTCTCCCCAAAATTTTTGGGGGGGCTTGAAACTTTGGGAAAAGATGGGGCATTGTTAGGTGAATGAATAGGGCAAGTCTCAAAGGTATCCGCCCCGAGCCCCAAATGGCCCGTTTTGCACGTAGTCCTTTCTGTACCAATTTTTAAGAAATATAAACAATAATCATAACTCGAGCGTCCAAAATTATTTGAGATCATAAATTCGTGGAAACATTCATACCAATCTCTTGGTGATTTTCTCAGACCATAAAGAGATCTATTTAGTTTTAAAACTTTGTTTGGATCGATATTATAGCCTGGCGGAGGATAAACATAGACATCACCTTTAACTTTGCCGTTCAAAAAGGCAGTTTGAAAATCCATTTGATGAATCATTAAGTTAAAAATACATGCAAGAGCTAAAACTATTTTCAAAGAACATAAACGGGAAACTGGAGAATAAATTGCTTCATCTAAGCTAGAATGTTGTTGGTAACCTCTTGCGACAACACGGGCTTTAAATTTGCCATCAGGCTTAATTTTGTAAATCCACTTTGTTTCAATAATTTCTTTGTTATCGGGAGGGTCAACTTGTTGCCAAGTATTATTTTCTTCTAAACCATTCAATTCATCATTCATAGCTTCTTGCCAATTTACATGATCTGGAGAGATAATTGCTTGTTTATAGTTATCAGGGACAGTAATATTACAAACATTTGCAAAAATAGGGTCCTCGATAAGGCGTCTTGGTGGTTTAGTTATGCGTTTAGGCCTGGGGGATGGGGAAGGTGGCGGTGGTGTTGGAGTAAATTGATCAGCATTAGGGGTATTATCAATGATAACATTAGTCGGGAGGTTGATTTTCAATATCATTGTTCTTTGGTCTTAGAGGGTTAGAAGAATCATCGACAATTACATATTCTTCGTTTCTGTTTGCTGTACATGGAGATTTATTTTCTAATTTAATACTATTATCAGCATCATGAATAAATCTAATATGTATACTAACAACTACTTTTTCTCCAATTAGAATTTTATACCCATAGTCAGTGTAACCAATTAGACTTCCTCTTATCGCTCTGCATCCTAATTTTGAAGGGTACCTTTTCACATCAGGAACCATAACAAAAGATGAAGTCCCCAAAATTTTTAGGTTTGATAAATTTGGCTTTGAATTCAAAAAATTTCATACGGGGTTTTTACTAGTACTGTGCTTGCAAGAGATCTGTTGTATAAGAATGTTGCAGTTGAAACTAATTCAGGCCAAAATTTATGTGCAACACCTGTTTCCCTTAAAAGACACCTAGTTCTGTCCATAATTGTCCTATTAAAGCGTTCTGCCACTCCGTTTAACTCATGTGTATAAGCAGGACACGGTCGCAGGTAAATTCCCTTTTGTCTGATAAAATCATGAATTCCTTTGTTTAAATATTCAGACCCATTATCACAACGTATTTCTTTGACCTTTTTATTAGTTTGATTTTCAACAAAATTAACATATGAAATAAAGCGGTTTAATACATCACTTTTGGATTTGGCAAGGAACACAAAGGCAAATTTACCGTAATCATCAATGAAACTTAACAAGTAATGTTCTCCTCTGTAGCCAAGAGGATTGATGGGTCCATTTACATCTGTATGGATAACTTCTAGAATATCGCTCGTATGACCTCTTTGATTATTGAATTTAAGTTTTGACATTTTGTTTTCAAGGCAAATTTCACAATCTAAATATCTTTTACTCAAAGTATTCGGTAAACCATCGGCTAATTTTAAATTTACAAGTTCTGTAAGATCGTTCAAGTTTATGTGATCTGATGCGCGGTGCCATTTTTCAGTGTTACTCATGTTAACTGTGTTAACTTCAATTCTATTGGCATTATTGCAATTGACTGGACATTTCAATTTATACAGATTCTCACTCCTAAAGGCAATTGAGATAATTTCATTTAAAGTATTATAAATTTTTGCACAATCTTCCAGAAAAACTACACGGTAACCATTGTCGCTAATACTTGATACGCTTAATAAATTTCGTTTCATTTCTGGCACATAAAAAACATTATTGATTTCAGTTTTGATTAATTTACCATAGAAATTACAAAAGACAGACACTTTACCTAGTTTTTCAGCCTTTAAAATAAAGCCATCAGCTACCTTAATTTCGAGAGGGGTTTTGAGATAAGAAAGTTCTGAAAAAAGGGATTCATCGTTTACAATATGGTCGCTACATCCACTATCTAAAAGGAATTCAACCAACAGATTTGAATCAGAAGAATGGCTTGCAGATAAGAGACTTACGGAACTAGAAGTTGAAGTTACGAAGCAATTCCCACTGTTCAAGGTATTTTCATCGTTTGGAGAGTAGAAGTAATCATCACTAGACGTTGAAGCTGCATTGCTTTGGTTGAAACCTCTGCTTGGTCTTCTTGCATTGTATCCTCAGCTGCGGTAACTTCCATGCCCTCGATTGAAGTTGCCTGAATCTCTTGAACCACGATTGTTGCTCGGATGTCCTCGTGAAGAAAAACACCTCGGTTGTTACTGTAGCTTGGACAGACGTTGGCATAATGTCCTGTGCCACCACAGCGATGACAAGAGTTGTTGCTTCGCACCCACGGTCTTCTGCTGAATCCACGACTTCTTCCACGGTTGTAGGAACGGTCATCACTAGAGTTCCCTCGGCTTGGCTTGTGGGCTTGGAGATTTAGAGCTTCAAAGTTATCACTTAGCTGTAGACTAGAATCACTTGACTTCTTTTCGAAAGAGATCATTATCTTCTTCTTCACAAAATCAGCTTTGCGCTGAGCAACTGGCAAGGCATCGACAATGTCATGCAAATGAGACATAGACTCTGGAAGGGTTAACAATAAATAATTAAGATGATCTTCATCACACACATTTTCCCCTGAGTTTTTGAGATCGATGATGTGTTTCTCCAAATTTTTAAGGAAGATGGTGGGATCCTCGGGGTCAAATCTTGTCTCCAGCAGCTTTCTCTTGATCATTAACTTCATTGATGTATTGGTGATAGCGAAAGTGTTATCCAATTTGGTTAGCATGTCTTTGGCGTTGTTCTCATGTCTGATGAGATCGAGAACTGAATTTGACACGACATTTACCAGGTAGTTTCGTGCTTTAATTTCCATCCTGGCGCAATCTTGTTCTTCGATATCATCTGGAATTCCATTTATGTCGGGGTCCACTGCTTCATAGCATTCTTTTAGTTTAAGAAGTAGCTCCAACCGGTATTTCCAACCATCATAATCTTTGCAACTACCATCGAATATTGGAATTCTTAACTTAAAATATTCATCAGCCATAGTGTGGAACAAAAGAATAAAAACGATAGTTCGGAATCTGACACGAGGCACGAGGTTCACGAGGTCATACGGTCACGGTCACGGGCGAATTTTCGGACGCGAATTTAACAACCACTAGCTTCTGCTACCATGTTGAAGTAACTAAAATAAAGGACCGGTTTTTCCTTTTAAAGCCTATGCGGAAGCTCTTTATTCATTTCTAATACTTATACACTTGGATTTCCATTAAATAACTTACACACTTAACAGGCTGCGATCCTGAACGGATATATAATGTTGATAAGGGAGGTAGATGATCGATGAGGTTCGGCACACCGATAGATCAAAGTACGGCGGGAATTACAAATTCAACACAAATGTGTCCTACGTAGTTAAGCACAGATTGAGCGAATTTACATTTTGGTAAATTGAACTTTAGACTTATTTCCTCTGCTCTTTTCAAGACTTTAATGAGCGTTTCATCATGCGTCTCGTTATCTCCAAAAATTAAGAAATCGTCAATGTAAATTATCAGATTTGGGATATCGGCACATTTCCGCTTGAAAAATTTCGCTGGTACAATTTAATCCATACGCTAATCGCTTAAATTTAAACCCTCCAAAGGGGGTAGCAAAAGTAGTTAGTTTGGAACTTTCTTCGTCTAAAGGTAAGGCCCAGAATCCTGCCTTTGCATCTAAAGTAGTAAAAACAGTTGCACCTTTCAGTTTAGCTTTTATGTCATCTACAGTAGGAATATAATGCTTGGGGGTAATTATTTCTTTATTCAAAAAGTGAGGATCTAGGCAGACCCTTAGCTCCCCATTACCTTTGGTGACTGTTACTATGGGATTGACCCATTCAGTTGGTTCATTCACCGGCTCGATGATTCCCAACTTTACCATTCTATTTAGCTCACCACGGACTCTTCTACGCAGCATGTATGGAATTCGACGGGCAGGTTCCGCCACAGGTTTTGCATTTTCTTTTATTGTAATTTTGCATTTGGTGTCTTTAACACAGCCTACACCTTGAAAAACTTCATATTTTTTAATCAAAGATGTGTACTTAGCAGTAATCGTGTTAACTTGTTTCAATATTCCTAATTCTTTGCATGATTTAAATCCTAGAATAGGCGAAGAGTTTACTTCAGCAATTATGAATTTTATTACATGTGAGTCATTAGCATTTTCATTTACACATTTTTAATTGCGTTCGCCTATTACATTTATTCTGTCACCTGTTACGGTGCTTAACTTAACATTTGTCTTCAAAATTGGTCTTTGGCCTGGCAACCTTTTACACAAATTTTGAGGGATAATGTTAGCTTGGGCTCCCGTATCAACAAGAAAATTACAGTAATAGTCATTAACATTCAAGGTGACGTACCATTGTTCATCTTGAACCCCATTAACAGCACCAATGAAGAGGTTAGGTCCATCATCATCTGTCGATTAGTAGTCGTCTTCATCGCTGGAGAATTGATTCTCCACAAGCCTGACCTTTCGCTTGTTGCATACCCTCTTAGGTGATTGGGTTTTCCGCAGACGGAGCAGTTTCTTCCAATGGCAGGACATTTACCGGAGTAGTGGATGGAATTTCCGCACGATTTGCAGGGCTTCTGCTTCCCAAAGCTGGATTGACGCCCGTGTTGAGGGTTGTGGGTGAAGTTAGACGATGTTGGTTCATCACAGATAGCACTGGTTCTCCCACGCCTTCCACGCCCTCTGAAGTTGCTGGATCTTCCGCGTTCCACCTTATTCACCAGTTGGTTTTCAGCTGGCTCCTCCTTTGACTTTGACTGTAATTGTGACGCGTGCATCGTCTGGGCAAACAACACCGCTTCGTCGCTCTCTTTCATCAGGAGTTGCACTCTAATAGCATCATGTTGAGGAAGCAGACCGGCCACAAATACTAATTTCACAATTTTGTCGTTCTGCTCTTTTAGTTCACAATTTGTGGCTAAATTCTTAAGCTTAGTGACGTACGTTTCGATCGATTCGTCCGCAGCCTGCTTTCGGGTGATCAGCTTATATATCGAAATATCAACGTTTCTTTTAGGTGAATAGAAATCGTCGAATTTCTTGATTAAGGCATCATGTTTGATCTCCTTATGAGAGATGTTGAAGGAGTAGTATACTGAATTTGCTTCTTCGCCGATATGATGCAGCAGAAGAGCATTTTTCCTTGTGTCAGACTCATTCTCAAGGTTGGTGGCGCACAGAAAAATTTCGAATTTTGTTTTCCATTCTCGCCAGGCTACAGCGATATTACCTTTTGGCTGGAAAGGTTTAATTGCCGAGAAAACAGAACGCGAGTTCGTAGCAGATTGCGATTGCTGAGCAGCAGCACTCGTGTCTTGCATGATGCTTAGAAGAAATAGGCCACTTGCAGCTGATTCCGAATTTTAATTTCGACACACATAGATAGCACTTTGGTGTGAAATTTAAAACAAAGAGTTCGAGTTAGCACATCGAGAGCATTTGCTGCTAGTTCAAAAGATGAAGAAATTCATCACGCACTTTCGAACGCGTTTCAAAGATATGCCGCACTGCTGGGTACGCTAGCACGCACTTTCAAAAGTTCGATGTCGCACGCTCTTTAAACCGCCGTTTTCGACGAAATACGGTTACGCGCAAAGCTCAAAACTACCGATTTCGCGAAATTACGAACGGAGAACGGGTTTCGGCACCACGTTTGGATAGGAGCAATCCTATTAAAGAAGGAGAAGGAGAGAAGACCAAAAGACAAGACGATAGCTAGGCAGCCATGATGAATCTGTATTGGGTTGGATGGCTTCCAGCCGTCCTCGGTCACTGTAGTGTACAGGAGAGCACAGCGCTCTCTATATGAGATATGATATACCTTTTTTTTTTTTTTTTTTTTTTTTTTTTTTTTTTTTTTTTATTTGCACAAAAATATATTATGTACAAGATAGTTTTTAGATGTAAATACATCTGTAAAAAACTTAAATTTAACTTATAAGGTAGACTTATATTATGTTACAGAAATTTTGTTTTAACAAGTAACAAAGAAAATAATAAAAAAGAGCATACTAAAATAAATAAATAAATAAGTAGTATGCGATAAACACCCTCTTTTTAATGAGGAGAAAAATAAAAACAATTTTGCTTCAAAGTAAAAAAGTCTTTTTGATTTAACTTGGAAAGCGGAAGACCGAGATCGGTCAAAGACCCAAGAATCCCTGATTGCGTTCGAAAAGCGCAAGGAGGCTCATAAGTTTAAAAGATGGAGAATTTTGAGAACCCCTGGATTCCAAGCTCATGGGGTTTACGACGTTTTAATCTTCGGATGCATCGGTCCTTTTCCAGAAGTGCGAGTGCTTCAGGATTGGGGTGCCAATGCAATCTGTTTTCGTAAGAGTTGTACATTTTAGTTATGTAGTCCTCTACAGAATCAATGTTGAGATCGGCGCGAATATCCACGTTTCTCTCGTACCATCTGGCTTTTGAAATGCTTCGTAAAATTTTCATTTGGATGGTTTCTATCTTTTGAATGTTTGATTTGGATGCGCAGCCCCACAACTGGCATCCATAGCTCCAAACCGGTCTCAACATTGATTTGTAGAGGAGCAGTTTGGTTTCTAAGGGTAACTTGGATTTGCGGCCTATTAGCCACTGCATATCATGAAATTTAAGTCTTAATTGTTCGACTTTTTTCTTTATGTGTGCACCCCATTTGAGCCTGGAATCCAGATGGAGGCCTAGATAACGTGCGACTGTGTCGCGAGGAATTTCAGAGTTTCCGAGATGAAGAGGAATATGAGTAAAAGGTCTGTTGGTGAAAACAATTTCTACCGACTTTGACGCATTTAATTTGGTTTTATCTTTGTTGGTCCATTTATTAATTCTATTTAGGTGGGATTGAGCATTAAAACGAGCCTCCCTGTAACTTTTCGACGCTGCTAGCACGAGCGTATCATCGGCATAAACTCCCAGTTTCCCTCCTCTCCCAGACTGCGGGATGTCTGTGGTGAAAAGGGAATAGAGAAGGGGGGAAAGACAGGAACCCTGTGGAACTCCTGCCCCTATAGGTCTAAAGCTTGAGGTGGTATTCTCATACCGAACCCTGAATTGTCTGCCTGAAAGAAAGGAAGACAGGAGCTCCACATGATTACATGGGAGCATTTTATATAATTTCTCGATGAGACGTTCGTGCCAGACACGATCGAATGCCTGCGCGACATCAAGAAACACCGCCACACAGTACTCTCCTTTTTCTAAAGAGTCTTCTATAAATTTTGTTATTCTATGTAGTTGATCTATAGTGGAATGCTTGGCTCTAAAACCAAATTGAGCATCAATAATTAGGTTTTGTTTGCCCACTATTTCGTTTAATCTCTTGATATATAATTTTTCGAAGAGTTTGCCAATAACAGGCAGCAACGAAATTGGTCTGTAAGATGCAGCCTCCATAGGAGGTTTGTCTGGTTTTAATAAGACGAAAATTTCCGCAATCTTCCATTGAGATGGGATATATTTGCACCTGATAACAGCATTGAAGATTGAAACCAATTTCATCACTGCTCTGCTTGGCAAATTCTTCAAAATAAGGCCTGAGACTTTATCAAAGCCTGGGGCTTTTTTTGCCTTGATTTTGCCTTTAATTTCTTTAATGACTTCGGAGGGAGAAATGGATTTTATTTTCACTGGTGGGATTTTCTTGATTTTTTGGGGTTTCAATGTGGACACCTCCCCCTCATCCCGCGAGGACGAGACGGAACTGTCGGTGGAAAAATCAGAGTCAGATAAAGTTTCTAGATCTCTGTGCGGCTGAAAAGCAGCCTCGAAGTGATCAGCTAAAACTTCAGCTTTTTCAGCGTCCGTATTGGCCCATGTTTTATCTGGTTTACTAATTGGGAATTTTAACTGTTTGGGTCTTTTTAAATACTTAGTTGCTGCCCAAAGTGAATAATTTTTATCTGCTGTTGGAGATAATGAGTTTATAAATTTTTCAAATTTGTGATTTAAAAATTCTTGAGTTCTTTTTTTGACAATTGTATTTAATCTATTGAATTTGGAATTATCTTCTGAAAAATGAGTGAGATTAGCTGTTCTTTTTGCCTTTCTTTTTAAACGGATGAGCTTGAGAAGTTCTTTGGGAATTGCATAGGGTTTTATGTTGTTTACTGCTACTGTGGTATTTGCAACCGCACATTTTCTGATATTTTCCACCAACAGTTCCACCTCTCTGTCAATATCCTCCCGGGAGAGGATCGGAACGCTGTTGTCAATAAGTATATCTAATTCAGATCTGAAGTTTTTCCAATTTGTTCTTTTGGAGCAGATTGCAGGAGGACGATTTTCAAGAATTGGAGTTGTATAAATCTCCATGATGACTTTTGCATGACCAATTTCAGTAGTCATAAGAGTGTCGCATGAAACATGATCAATGAGATTAATATTTTTGAAGATAAAAAAGTCTATCAGATCAGGATATGATATACTATCATAACACACGTTTGAGGATTCCACCTCTAGTAATGAGTAAAAGTGAATCCTTGAGTTCCTAAGTCTCGCTCTTGCTCTGTATAACTTCTTAATCGATAATTTTAGTTATTCAAGATGTTTTTTGGCCGTCAATGAAGTATGTATTTTTCTTACTAGCCGTTCTGGGCGCGCTTCGCGCGCCCGTCACGTCTA